CGAACCGGCAATCGATCGCAAACGGTAACAGTGGTTAGTTATCGGGCATCGGGCGTGTTTTGTTTTTGTTCGCGTACGTCGTCGTGTTTGTTTACGAATCAAGAGTTCGCCGACATGTTAGTGTACGGTGAAGCTTGACGATCAGGTTGTTGGCCCTTTCGATTTACCCCCAATGTTGTCAGAAGAAGGATACCCTAGCTTTCTAGCCAATAACCTACCAGAACTTTTGGAACAGACCTTAGACAACATGCCATTACAATGGAGACAGAATTTGTGGCTTCTTCATGACTGGGCACCACCACACATTTTTAGAGGCGTCAATAAGTATTTGAATGAACATTATCCAAATCGCTGGATCGGTCGAAATACTCCTGATCCTCGAAAATGGCCAGCAACATCTCCTGACCCCAATCCGATGGATTTCTGGTAATGGTTAGAACTTAAAGGGATGGTTTATGTGGCTGGTCCAATAACAACTGAAGCACAACTTCGCGAAAAAAAATTTAATGCGGCTGAAATAATAAATGGACAACTTCGAGGACCTAGAGTAAGAAGAAACTGGGTTCGTCGTAATGAAGCTTGTGTGGAAAGTGGAGGACGACATTTTGAGTACCTTCTTTAAATACAAAAAAGTGCAGTGTGGGTTTTAAAAAGATAAACATTGTATGTATCAAAAATGTGTTCCCTATTTATAAGTATATTTTTTTAATACTTTCAATAAACTTTCACACACCAGGTAAAGCGCTGAGACAGTTAGTGGCAAGTCAGTTTCTTTTAATTGTCTTCATTTTACGAGTACATTATCAAATAATGAAATAATACCTAAGAGCCAAAAATAACAAGCTCCATCTTTATTTACACTGCGTTCCGTCGGAATTTGCGTCTGGCATTGCGGCGTTGTCAGATTTTATTTTACGTTAAAGTCGCTTTTCTCTAAAAAAATTCCGTTTTGACCCCCATGTTACATGAAGCTTTTTGTTCCTTTTAACCCCATCTATCACCCATTTAAATAATGACTGTCATAACGTTTACACCCTGTATATGGTAGTACTTTACTGCACTATTTTACACACCCTTTCCATTTGTTGATACAACTCTATAGGTAGTAAGAAATGGCGTCAAGTAGATTGACTCTATACCTCCCATGCCTTTGAAACAGCTTCTGATACAATTTTCTATGTAATTCGGTGAGATAAAAAGAGATTTAGGTTTTGTCAGAACCAAAAATGCGCTATTTGGGCTTTTCATGAAAAAAAAAAAAATAATTCCTTAGATTGGTGCAATGAACGTTTCCGCACATGGGAGACTAATTTCTTTGGAGCTCTGGTGTAAACAATGTTTGATAACTGATTATATAATATTAAGTAACAAAATCGAATAATCCCATTAAACCATGCATCAAGCATAACGCTCAGATATACAGGGCAAGCCATTAAGTTAGGTGGATTTTAGTCACATGAGAACTTTATTTTTTACAAATAAGATCATTGAGACGTGAACCATCGTACACGTACACACTCCTCTAATCTAGACTTTAAATTCATGAAAACTCGCTGGAGCATTGCTCGTGGGATAGCAGCATCTCCTTGCGAATATTGTTTTTGAGCTGGGTATCTGTCGTCGGTACCAACCTGTATATAGATAGTATTGCGCCCACATCGTATATCGCCGCGCCGTTTGCTACTATACCTGTCTTTATAAGTCACTCGGATCATTGCCAAAGATGCGATATTTATAAATAATCACATGGCGCACGGCATGTGCGACCGATAGGCGATCGGCCTGCTGAAAACATTTTTCCAAGTTTCAAATGCACATGTACGGGGAAATCTATGAAGTGTGAAGTAAGTGTATAACTATACTATTAATACACTAACATAAAAAACTGAACCCCTGAAAACCCCTGTAATATTTGCCCCTAAGACCTTTTTCAAAAATAATCTGGTTCCTCTGCGACATCAAAAAATGAAGATTGAACAATTTTTGTTGTTTCCCTGAGGCATGCAAGGTATCACTGAACCGATTTTCAAAAACTACAAAGCTCTTTCGTCCTTGGTATAGTAGTAACGTGAGTGACAATTTTATCAAAATCCTAGCAGTACTTTCAAAGTTATAGGCTGTCCGAGGATTAGCGGACAAACCGACAGACGGACTGAAATAAGCGGCATGGTGGAAATGTATTAATATACTAACATCAAAAATTGCGATTTTCCATATGAACAGCAATGTTGACAGTATTAGAATTATTTTCAGAAAGTGGTGAAAAAAAACGGTCCTCTGTTATCTTCTGCTTTAAGAACCGAATTGTGCAGTGTGCGGTTTTACTTATTTCATATGGCAGTGCGTCGTAATCGCTAAAAACTAAATTTGTTTTTTTAATTGTTATGAACAATGAACTCTAGGGAAAACACAGGGGTAATTATTTGTAGCAGATTGAAGGTAAAATTGAAAAACAAACAGAGGCGTACTATTTTTCTTTTGAAAAATAATGCTGTATCTCCGACCCTGGTGCACGTTAGTTTTAAGTAACGACTTTTGAATGTCGACAATACCTAGGTAAATCCAAATACCAAATTTTAGTTAACCCTAGTTAACGGTTTTGAGGATTAAAAAATTTCTTTTTCCTGTATATGATGTTTCATTTTTGGTCACGACTTGTGAATCACCCTGTACAGGTCCTCTTAAATACAGATACATTTTTTTACGGTTAGCCTTATCTAATCAAGGAAACTAAAAACATTTCACCTGCATTATCATTTGCTTTGGAGGTGGAGGTGGAGGTTTTTGTAAATTCTATTCTTTTTCAGATATACATTTTCCTTAAAAGCTTTTCCGAATTCCTGCTCGGAGACGGAAATTCGATTCATTAAAAACTCACCTGAGCCTCGTGTAAATTTAATGTGAAGAGACATTGGATATTGGACTCCTTTTTATATCACCTGATGCCCTATAATGAGCTTCGTTTTGTATTCTTATTCGCCCCTTCTTTATGTAGGTACCTATACCTTTTTTCCTCCGAAGAAAAATTAGCTGTCTGAGAAAAAGGAGGTCCTTTGATCTACCCTTAGAGGACTTAATTTTGATGAATCGGTGTAGCTCTGTAGGTACGGTATGTTAAATTGGAATTAATTTTTTCAGGGGATAATATTTTCTGACGAGTTTTTAATTGAGTGAGGATGAACTTACTTATTCGTTTCTGCAAATAGTCTGGAAGAAAAAAGCTAAAACGCTGGAGAAATGAGACAAAAAATTGACGTCAAATTATAAAGCAAAAGTTTACAATTACAATAATAATGTTTTATCCCCATTTTGTACAAACATAACTAACACTAACATGATTATACATCAAAGTTACTCAAAACTTCGAGAAATATTTACACACTTACCAAATACATGGTTCGCAGCTACATACACATTCAGGGTGTTCATTTGAAAACAGATTTTCATAAACTGTCTGCACATACATTATTTTTTTGGGGTTCTGGGTATGCCCTTCTACAAAAGCATGAGGATTTTCATTGCTCCAATACCTGCAGTTATGCTTATTAACAAATCAATTCAGATCAAATGTGCATTCATCACTGAAGCAGATAAGGACTTCGAAAGACTTTCCAAACAAGCTATCACTCGACACTTATCATTTAAAATTGTCAGGGAAATGATCCTGCAGGAGCCGAGGATGAAAGGAGGTGAAGTAGTTAATGATTGGTTATAATTAGTCTGTATAGAAACAGATGGTGGTAATTTGTTTCTAAGACTTGTAAATGGCATGAACATAGTTTTTTAAAAATTGATAGTTAGGCATTTATGTCTGAACCAGTCTGCAATTATTATTAAGCTTCTTTAAAACTTTTCATTTAGATCATCCCACGAGTTGTAATCCGACTAAATCAGAGTTCCCCAAACTTTTTTGTGTCGTAGACCCCTTGCCATGTTTTTTCGTGTTGGGTAGACCCCCTACTTACCTGATATTGATTTCCTGTAAATTTCTAACTGTAGTGAAGTTTAGTGTTAAAAACTTAAAGAAAAAACACATGTTAATTCATACATTTATTAATTGAATTTAAATTAAAACTACTCAAAATATAATTTTGTATCTGTTATGTAAAATATACGTAACATTAAATAAACAGGTGTCTGACCAATAAGTGCCCGCATTGAAAAAAAATAAGAGGGATAAAATAAATAATAAAAAAAAGTTTTTTTACTTAAAATAGTACAATAAGCGAGTTCGTTTATTCATTATAACATAAACGTATGTTCTGCAATAATTCCACTGTTAGTTTGATTATATTCCGCTTCTTATACGTATAAGTTATCTAAAAATAGGCAAAAAATTAACGAATTTTAGTATGTACCTATCCTTGAATTTTCAGTCAGTTCCTCTTGTATTATGACATTCGTTTCTTCTATGTCACCATATGGATTAATTATCCACGGTGGTATTACCATAGTCAAAATATCCTCAAACCTAGATTCAAAATCTGAATAGAGGGCATTTAAATGTTGAACGTAAGTTGAAACGTCGTCTTCCTAGCAGCTCGTCTGTGACAAATTGGGGAACTGAGAAAATTCGCCCCGTCCAATATTTTGCTTCATTAGTTTAACTCTGGCAAGAAACGCTGATAAGATGGACTTTGTTTTAATCAAATTTAAACTGTCGCCTTGTAATTGCACATTAACCATATTAAATTTTGTAAACAAATCTGTTAAATAGGCGATGTCTGTTTTCCTCTTCATAAAATTTTCTTTAAATATTTTATCTTTAGTATCCAGAAATTCTAAAATAGTCTCAAAAAGTGCAAAAAATCTTGTCAAACATAAGCCTTTCGACAGCCAGCGTACTTCAGTGTGAAGGAGTAATTGATGAAAGTGTTCGTCATTTTCTTCACACAACTGCGCAAATAACCGCGTATTCAACGCGTTGCTTCGGATTCGGTTTACTGCATCAATGACTAAATGAAGTGATTCATGCAATCTAACACTCAAATTTTTAGCAACTAAATGTTGTCGATAACGCAATGTATTGCTAACACCCCTGACACATTTTGTTTTAAATAGCTTATAAATCCACGGTAACGTCCAACTATGGCAGGTGCTCCATCTGTAGCTACTAATATTATATTTGATAAAGGAATTGCTTTTTCAATGAAGTAATCCTTCAAAACATGAAGTATTGATTCACCTTTAGTGTCGGTTATCAAAGTTCTTGCGAAGAGCAGTTCTTCGCATATTTCTTGATTCATAATAAAACGAACAACATATGCCAATAATAATGCTGCATTATCAGGTAAAGTTGACTCGTCCAGTTGTATAGAGAAATGGGTCGTTTGCAAATAATTACATAAGAAGCTTTCAATATCAGAACTCATTTCATCAATACGTGTTTCAACAGTATTGTTGCTTAAGGGAATTCTTTTAATGATATCAGATGCAGGTTTGTGTAAAACAGTTTTTAAAACCTCTTCAACGGTTGGCAGAATTAACTTCTCTCCGATAGTATGCGGTTTTCCGGATTTTGCTATAAGTAACGAGATATTGTAAGACGCCCGCAAACCATCATCATTTTTTTGTGACGTTGAAGCGCACATTCTGTCCAGTGTAGGTCTCTTCTGAAGTTTATCTTTGAGTGTTTGAAAGTATTTCAAATCTTTCTCTGTTTTATCAGGGTGGCATCTTCTCAGATGATCTTGCAGTTTAGATGGTTTCATAGCGTCATTGCCCAAAACTTTGTTGCATAAAAGGCACATAGGCGATTGTTTGTCCGGCAATGATAGAATGAAGCCAAATTTCAACTAATCAACACTGTACTGTCTACATTTCTTTTTAGATTCGGAGATGGGATCAGTCATCTGTGGGCAAAATTAAATTATTTAAATAAGACAGAAAATCCAGCAGCTGTATATTAAAAATATTTTTTGATTTTTCCGAAAACATTCCATAATTCGAACATCTTGCAACAATTACCTCGAATTACGGAGATTGCACTGTAATTATATTACCGATTGCTAAAACTTTCAAAAAGAAACTATTGAGGAGTACTCGTGTAATTTTGCATGATTGAATATTTAACTACTAATAACTAAAGTCATGAATGCCGTAATTTATCTATCTTTGTTAACTACGAGTACAAAACTAAGATTTAATAAAAAATAATGTACTTACTTTTCTCCAGCACTCTCAAACAAAATAACACTGACTCACTATAATTTGTGTGATATATTATCTGTTTATATTTTTTAAAATATTTTCTTAACACTTTCCTTTTCAAGATTCAGGAAACGAATAAACGTATTTGTCCCACATTCGTATTTATAGAGTGACGAATTCAACAAGTCAGTGCAAGGCAGCGAAGCTCTGAGACTGCGACTCTCAGGTTTTTACAAGTTCAAAATGTATTGCGACCACAAAGCGAATACCAACATCCTACAACTTACACAATTTTATAAACATATATAATAAATTTTTTACTTCATAGGTACTTTTATAAATAATGTATATATTTTGATATTATAAGATAGTATGATTTAAGTAAATAGGTACTATCAGTGAATGTCTTGAGATCCACTATCGTGAACCCCCATATTCATTTCATGGACCCCCAAATTTTTTTTCGCTGACGTAAACCCCTTGCAGGTTGTCATAGACCCCTAGGGGTCGATATAGACCACTTTGGGAATCAGTGGACTAAATGATAGCCGCATCATCTGCAAAGCATATGATTGTACCTTCAGATTTTAAGCTAAACAAGATTAATGTAAATTATAAAGGGCCTAACACTGTTCCTTGTGGGACACCATAAGTTACCATTTCGTTTGTGCTTAAGGACATATTTATTTGTTTTCTGTTGGAAAGGTAACTTTTCATGAGGCTATCAGCCTTGTCTCTGATTCTAGGATCGTGTAATATTTATAATAGATGCAAGTGGTCTACTACTCGGTAGATCCAAGAACACACACTTTTTTGTTTTTCTACTCATTATTCACTTTGGCCGAGTAATTGTTCTAATATAAAATATCTAGTAGTATACCTCGATTGTCACCTTAAATGCTATAAACAAAAGGACTATGTCCAAAGAAAGATTAGATATGTCCTGACACAGTTTAAATATCTTTTAAGAATACTTAATATTGATCAATTACGTATCCTGTGTTGTGCTTTTGTTGCCAGTCACATTCAGTTCGATATTGCAGTATGTGGGGTACCGCTGCAAAAACATTATAATAAAGTAGAATTGGTATATGAATGGATTTTAAAAATAATTTATAAAAAAGAGGTTACATATCCAACAAAATTTCTTTATTCTGAATCCCATGTAAAGGACATCTGTTGGCACCTTTTTGTGTCACTCGGCATTTCCAAAAATAAAACTACAACAATTTTATTATGGTTAGATATCGATGCAGTCCAGTAGAATAAAGGAGTTGAGGTTTTCCTTTTCAGAAACAACTAGCCTTGAAATAACAAAGGTAATGTGTAGTGAAACGAGGGCGACCAATTAAAAAAAAAAATAAAGGAAAAAGTACTCACTCTCCAGTTGACGAGAGGGGCTAAGTACGTCTCTGCCCGAAATCATACCGCTCCAACAGAAAATGAAATCAGCTGATGCGCTACCGAGCAGATGCAGGCAAACAAGGAAGGCAAAATGTTGCGTAAAAAGTCTAGGTATTGCATCCCGTCCAATCGATTTGGGAGAATAAATGGTCCAATGAGCATACCGTTCACCATGCCAGCCCAAACATTCACTGAAAATGTTTGTTGAAAATGTGCCCGACGGACAGCGTGCGGATTTTCTACTGACCAAACATGAGTGTTGCGAAAGTTATTCACCCCATTACGCGTGAACGTAGATTCGTCTGTCACCAATATGCACTTCAAAAAGTCCAGATTATTGTCATGTTGATGCAACAACCACTCACAAAACCGCACTCTTGCTGGAAAATCGTCAGGTTGAAGGGCTTGTACACGTTGGGCGTGAAACGGATACAGCCCCTCTTCACGCAGCGTTTGCCACACTTTAGTTTTTGATACTTGCACTTCTCTAGCCACGTCTCTGGTGCTTGTTGAGGGATTGTTTTCTACGCGATTACCTCTAGACGCGTGACCGTAACCGTCGGTTTAAGGTTGCATACTGACCTGACACACTGACCCCGACCCAGTTCTGTCGTCGGGTTGAGCTAGTGTCCTAGTACCACCCGGGGATGTCGCGGCTACAGGACGGTATTCAGATATTTTTGATGTTGCAGAGCCCTTTATCTCGGTTCCCTTAAGACATTGGTGTATATGGTACTAAGAAAAATTGCTTATGTTTTCAAGATCTACACGTCGTGTAAAGGAAAACTCCAACTTTGCGGATACCCTGTATACGAAGTGAATGTTCACCTTTCAGGAAATCAAAACACTACAACAAATAGCACAGTAACACTGTAATTGGGTTCACACCGCATACTACTAAAAAATAACCCAAAATTCAATTTAATAAAGTGACTACTGACACCGTTGTTAAAATTATACATAAAATAAAATCAAATTCTAGTGGTACAGATGGAATAACTTTGAATATGATAATACTATGTATACCTGAAATTGATGTGTACCTAACGCATATTATAAACTGCTGTTTAGAGAGGGGATATTTCCCCAATCAGTGGAAACGCGCTATAGTTATTCCGCTACCTAAGTGTTCTGATCCTACTAACTATGGTCAACTGAGACCGATCAGTCTACTGCCAATTTTTTCTAAAGTATTGGAACGCCTTGTTTACGAGCAGCTCTGCGCCTACTTATATTCTAACAAAATTATTCCATCTAAACAATCTGGATTTCGACAAGGTCATAATACAGCTTCGGCACTCTGTGATTTAACAGACAATATAACAATGGCACTTGATAACCAAAAAGCAGTAGCTCTCATACTTCTTGACTTTACCAAAGTATTTGACACCATTAATCACTCACTTCTTGTATCTAAATGCAGTTACTATGGATTTTCTGAAAAACCTCTTTCGTTTATTCAAACCTACTTTGAAAATCCGTATCAAAAAGTTCGTCTAAATCAACAGTACTCCACGGAACAAAAAATTTGTTCTGGTGTACCACAGGGATCAGTCTTAGGACCGCTATTATTTTCATTATATATCTCAGATTTAGAAACAGAGGTAAAATCATGCAGCATACAATTTTTTGCAGATGATACTCAAATTTTCTATTCATTTAGGAGTAATGACTTGGAAACGGCAAATAATAAAATTATTCAAGATCTTGCCCAAATTGAAAAGTTCAGTAGTAGTCATAATCTTCGTTTGAACCCTTTGAAGACAAATGTGTTGGTATACGCAAATAGAACAAAAAAGAATACATTAAAAAAGGACATAGACATACATTTAAAAGGTAATAAATTAATTCCTGTGGATCATTCAAAAAACCTAGGTATTATAATGGATGATGACTTAAAATTTGTTGCACACGTGAACTATGTAATAACTCAGTGCTACGCTATTCTCAGAGTTTTATATGCAAATAAGGCTATATTACATAAATCTGCGAGAAAGCAATTGTGTGAATATTTCGTGTTTTCAAAGATGTCGTATTGCTTAGTGGTTTACTATCCCTATTTAGATATTATAACAAGAAATCGTATTCAAAGTATTATGAATACATGTTGCAGGCTTGTAAATGATCTCAGAAAATATGATCATATATCGAATGCCATTAATGAACTCAAATGGAAGAAAATTGATAAAATGTATAGGTACCAGCTCCTAAATCTGACTCATAAGGTTCTTTATTCAAAAACACCGTCATATTTAGTAAACAAATTCATACGTAGAGGGAATATGCATCGTATTAATATTAGATATAGAGAGACTTTTTCAATTCCACGCCACAGCACGTCTCTATTTCAGAATACATACATTTACAATGCGATCAAATCATATAATTCTTTAGACCGCAGTTTAAAAGAAACCAATCCATTATCCAAATTCAAGAAAAAAATTAAAGAAGTTCTTCTTGATCAGCAGCGAAATCGGTTGTAACCCATAAGTGTCCTCATATTTTCCTTATGTATTTACTTGGATTATTCGTTATTGTATACAGGTGCCTATTAATTTTCAACAAATTCTTTTTTTTTACATCTCGTATTGTTAAGTGGGTTAGATGGTAGAATAGATATATAATCTAAATCTCGCCTCCTGTAAGAATATTACAAATAAAAGACGTTAATTATTATTATTATTATTATTATTATTACTTGATGTTAAAACCGACCATTATACTCGTTTGCGTATATATGACATTGAAAGCTGCCCAAGAGGAGGAATGGAACGTATAACCTAAACAGACCTAAGGGCGGTCATGCTGAGTGACATTGACCAGACTTGTAAATCTTCTAGAAAGAATTCGTGTGCAGAATGTGTTAGAAATATTTCGGATATTAAAAACGTGCTCCGTTAACAATGGCATACTCCTCCAACAAGGTTTGCAATGTACTATTTTCATGTTTATATCAATCTTGATGTTCTTTGTTGGATCGTTGATGGCGTCTAAACAAATATGATACAAATAGCTTTACAGAAAAACCTATCGCGACTCTCTATATTCAAAGCGGACGCGGTGATGTAATGACGTGCTTTATTTCGCACAATTTCCATGTATGCATCCACCGCTATATGAATCGCAGTCCTTTGTGTATATACTATGCATGCTAGGTACGTATATTTCGGAATGTGTGTCTGTATTTACAGCGCAG